CTTCCTCAGAACCACGAAGGGTCACCGGACCCAAAACGTTAACTGAAATTTTTCTTCACCGATGCTGCCACACCTGCTGAGCTTTTCCAGCAACTTTGTTCTTATAACTACTGGTGTACACCAAGAAATGACCAAAAACCAAGGAACATACAGCCAAGATTGCAAGCAAACTTCTGCATTTATGGCAAATGCAGCTTAATTTCCATTTCCAAAAGGGACTGCTATATCAAAAATAATCCATCTACACATAACTTGTCATTCATAACACTCTCACAGTAGGTCTTCACAGCAATGAATAAAGGTTCTATCTGCTTAGATGCAAGTCCACACCAAAAGAAAGTTCTGCTGAACTACCTTCCTTTCAGAGAAATTTTAAAAAAGAGACAGCAGAGACAATACATTGACTAAATGCAGCTACGTTGCAGATAGCATACGTGACAATCTGTTTGAGATCTCAGGTTATAACAATTACATACCTGAAAGGAATGAATTGTGACATTTCTATAAAAATTAACATTTTGAGGGGAGCAGAAAGTAACAATGAACCTAGTGTGGTTACAGCAATACCAAGATTTCAGGATAAGCATTCACAAAGTAAAATTAAACTAATGCAAAAGAAATTCAACCAAAGTAGACATTGTGGTGCTATGGATGACAATAAATATTTCATCTTGAGCATCATAGGAACAGGAATAGGCCCTAAGCCCCACGAATCTGTTCTGCTCATCTCTCCAGATGTGCAAATAACACTTGGCTGTCAAATTTCATACCAAAAGAGCCAATCCAGGTTAAAACAACAAGCAATGTAAATGGTAATCACAGCTGAATTTTGCTTAACGACAGTACAATGACTACTCTATTCACACTCATTGGTTTTGTTACAATGAACATTTATTCCTACCACAACTGTATCAGCAGAAGGTGATGCACATATGCAGCTGTTAAAGATCAAGGCAAATTTCAATTTGCATTCCTCAAAGCAAGAGACAAAAAAAGGTGCAAAAAGAAAATATCACTAGCAAAAACAGCGAGGCTTGGAAAGTTTCAGCGCCTGAGACGGTTTCAAGCGTTGACATGTTACTGATGAGAGAGAATCAAAAAATTACTGAAAGAATTGAAATAAAAGAAAGCAACTTCCCTGAAGTTTTGTCTCAAGGCAATTTTATGTATCCATTTTGCACAAGTAAAATAAAACTTGCAGTTTTTTAGATTGACTTATAAAACAATGGCGTTTCAGAGTTTTTTCCTTATTCACTCATGGGACATGAGCATTGCTGGCTGGCCAGCATTTATTGTTCACCCCTAGTTGCCCTGGAGATGGTGGTGAGGAGTTGCTTTCTTGAACCGCTGTATTCCACGTGCTATGGGTAGATCCGCAATGTCATTCGGGAGAGAATTCCACAATTTTGATGCAGCAATATATTTCCAAGTCAGGATGGTGAGTACTTTGGAGGGTAACCAGCAGGTGGTGCTCCCACGTTCCTGCTGCCCTTGACCTTGAAAGTGGTTGTGGGTTTGGAAGGTGCTGCGTAAGGATCTTTGATGAATTTCTTCAGTGCAGCATGCAGATAGTGTACACTGTTGCTACTGAGCATCATGGAGGTGAAGGGAGTGAATGTTTATGGAAAGTGGTGATGGTGCAAGTATAGAGGAAGGTGCAGGGAACGTTGGTGGAAAAAATCAGACAAATACAAGCAGATAATGATTGTGATATAGCCAAGAGAACTATTAAAAAGGCGACTGAAACATGCTTGCATAAATCAAATGCCAACCACAGTACTGACATAGAATACCTTTATCAAGTGTAGTAATCTAAGCCCTATACTCTAATCTGCCCTAATTCAGCTAAACATAAATTGTAGAATAGATCAATTTTCTGCATCCATGGGGTGTAGTCATCATGTGTTAGCTCAGCGTCTATTACTCATTCCTAAGCACCCTGGAGAAGGTGGAGGTGAACTGTTGCAGTCCTTAGGCTATAGGGACACGCACTGCACTGTTAGGAAGGGACTGCCAGGATTTTATTCCTTCGCTGTGCTGGATCAATGATATTGTTCCAAGACAGCAAGGTATGTGGGTTGGAGGGGAAACTTGCACTGGTTGACTTTCAATTGAATTCACTCACTGGTTCTTCTAAGAGGGAGAGTTTGCAGTTTTGAAAAGTGGCCATCTAAGAAGACTTGGTGAATTACTGCAGTGCGCCTTGTAGGGGGTTTATATCGCTGTCAGTGGTGAAGGGACTGAACGTTGAAGGTGGTGGTTTAGGTGCCAGTTAAGTCAACTGTATTTGAGCAGGATGGCATTGAACTTCTCAAGCGTGGTTGGTACTGCACGCATCCAGCCAAGTGGAAAATATTCCATCACACCCCCAAACTTGCACTTTGGTGAAAGGAGGCAAGTTACTTGCCACAGACCTGCTCTTGTAGCCACAGTATTTACGTGCTTGGTCCAGTTAATTTACTGTTCAATAGTAACCCCAGGAAGTTATTAGGGAGGCTTCACAAATTAATAAAATCAAAAGTGAACAGCAACAATTAGATTCCCTCTTGTTTGAGATGGTGATTGCCCATCAATGTGGCATGATGTTATTTTCCACTTGTCAGCCCAAGCTTCGACATTGTCCAGCTCTTACTGCATTCAAACAGAGACAGTTTCAGAAACTGAGTCATTGCAAATGGCTGAACACTGTACAACCAGTGAACCTCCTCACTTATGGCCTTACATTGAAGGGAAGGTCATTACTGAAGCAGTTGAAGATGGTTGAGCCTGGGACCTCGGCCTGAGGATCACCTGCAAAGATGTCCCATGACTGATATCATTGGACTCCAACAACCACAGCCTACCTTCCTTTGTGCTAGGTACGACTCTAACCAACACTCTCCAATTCCCATTAACTCCAGTTCTGAGCGCGCTCCTGGATGCATATTTGGTCAAATGCTGCCTTAATTCAAGGGCAATCACCCTTATAGTTAAATGTAGAATTGTTCACTTAATTTTGCTGTTCTTTCCTTCAGATCCAGTACAACTCATCCTTTTTATGGCACTCTGGATGTTCTTTTAAATAAACAGCGTTATCCAAATTTAATTAAATCTCTTCACTTTACTACACACCACTACTTTGCCATTCAAAAGCCTCACAACAGCATTTGTACTCAACCACAAAAAGTGAGCTTTAGTTCAACGATCAGCAGACCCCCTCCCCTCACCTTCCTCAGGGTCAAAGTATTCCATTGTGCAAGTGTGCCCAGCAAGGACTCCTTCACACAAGGAAAGCTATGGAAATTAAACAAATATCTAACAAACAAACGATCTCCTCCCCTACTTTAAAGTAGGTGAATAGTAGTATGAATAAAAGTATGTAAACCTGTGAATATGGTGTATCTGGATTTCCAGAAAGCATTTGACAAGGTGCCACACCAAAGGCTGCTACATAAGATAAAGTTGCACATATTACAGGTAATGTATTTGCATGGATAGAGGATTGGTTGACCAGTAGAAAGCAAAGAGTAGGGGTAAATGGGTGTTTTTCTGGTTGGCGGTCAGTGGCTAGTGGTGTGCCTCAGGGATCAGTGTTGGGACCTCAATTGTTTACAATTTACATAGATGATTTGGAGTTGGTGACTAAGTGTGGTGTGTCAAAATTTGCAGATGACACTAAGGCGAGTGGTAGAGCAAAGTGTGCAGAAGACACTGAAAGTCTGCAGAGGGATATAGATAGTCTAAGTGAGTGGGCAAAGGTCTGGCAGATGGAATACAATGTTGGTTAAGTGTGAGGTCATCCATTTTGGTAGGAATAACAGCAAAATGGACTATGTTTTAAATGGTAAAAAAATTGCAGCACGCTGCTGTGCAGAGGGACTTGGGTGTCCTTGTGCATGAATCGCTGAAGGTGGGATTGCAGGTGCAGCAGGTAATTAAAAAGACAAATGGAATTTTGTCTGTCAATGCTAGAGGGATGGAGTTTAAAAACAGGGAGGCTATGCTGCAGCTGTATAGGATCCTGGTGAGGCCACACCTGGAGTACTGTGCGCAGTTTTGGTCTCCTTACTTGAGAACAGATATACTAGCACTGGAGGGGGTGCAGAGGAGATTCACTCAGTTGATTCCAGAGTTGAGGGTTGGATTACGAGGAGAGACCAAGTAGACTGGGCTTATACTCATTGGAATTCAGAAGGATGGAGGGGAGATCTTTATAGAAACATAAGATTACGAAGGGAATAGATAAAGTGGAAGCAGGGAGGTTGTTTCTGCTAGCAGGTGAAACTAGGACTAGAGGGCATCGCCTCAAATTAAAGGGAAGCAGATATAGGACTGAGGTCAGGAGGAACTTCTTCACCCAAAGGGTTGTGAATCTGAGGAATTCCCTGCCCAGGGAAGCGGTTGCAGCTATCTCGCTGAATGTTCTTAAGGCAAGGCTAGATAAATTTTTGAACAGTAAAGGAATTAAGGGTTATGGTGAGTGGGCGGGTAAGTGGAGCTGAGTCTCAAAGATCAGCCATGATCTTATTAAATGGCGGGGCAGGCTGGAGGGGCCAGATGGCCTACTCCTGCTCCTAGTTCTTATTTGTCATTTTAAGCTGATTAAAATTAGTAAAAAAAGTTACAGTATTCAGACTGAAATTGTGCCAATTTTCTGAACTGTGAAGTTACATTACTATCCAACTGTTCATTATTTTCTTCTCCTGAAATCAAGTTTACTCACTTAAAATGTTTAGATTAAATCAACGTCACTTTATTTCATGTAGTTTAAAATAACAAAATTGTAGAAATCTCGAAACTTCAGACCTTCAAATGCTGATTCAAACCAAGTTACTCAAAATGTTGAACACGAGCATGTATTAATCTCTGAACCACGATTGTCAACTGTCTGACATGTATTCCAAAAACTAACCTGATAAGATGGTAGCCTGATGAAATTTAACATAATCCACTGATTAACCTTTAAGAAATGTCATTGGTTATACGTAATTGGCAAGTCATGTTGAAAACATTCTACATACCCTGGATATCATCGTTGAAGGTACAGTACTTGTTGCGGTACTTGTTCAAAAGACGAAATGCATTGGTGTTGGCAAAATCTTCAAACTGAATAAGACAGTTCTGGCCATACCTAAGGAGTAAAAAGATACATCCTGGTAAGAGACTGATAGCTTACAGCAGACTGCTAAACTATAAGCTTTAACACAGGCAGACAGGATGATTGTAGGATGTTTTCTCTTTTGGGATGAAGCGAAACAGTTTAAAGAGGTATCTCATGAAAGGCAAAAGTAGGCTTTTCTTTCTCTCAGCAGCTTGTTACATATTCTATGAATTTTCTTCCCCAGACAGCAGGGGAGGAAGAGTTACTGAGCATTTTTAAAACTGAGTTTGATTGATTCTTGAATGACTAGGAAGTCAAGGACAACGGGAGTAGACAGGAAAGCAGAGGTCACAATCAGATTAGCCATGACTTATCAAATGGCACGGCAGGTTTGAGGATCTACTCCTCGGAATTTGTAGGTTTGGAAGTAAAAGAAGCATAGATAGTATAGAATCAGAGGACACAGATTCAAAACCTTCAGATTTTGCATAGGTTTTCTTTTTCCAACTTATATAAACTCATCAACATAATTAGTCCAAGATCACAACCAGCTAAACTGCACTTCCCCAATGATATTCCAAATGAAACAAAAAAAGGTTAAAAAGTAAGCCAATAACTAGTTGGAAAACAGAATTCTGCATCTTTCGTTCAAGTGCACTTAATTTTGATATGGAGTTCAATGTTTCTCTTTCTCATCCCACGTTACAATTTATTTTCACCATTATACACTGGATAGTTTGCAATACAATATGTTTCATTCTGGGCTGCACTTACTCTCAAACCTGCCTAGTTTTCTGCCTGCACTTTTCAGCACAGAAAATAATGCCAATTACACTAAACCCACTTATGTTTATACTCCCTTAAGTGGATAAAGTTATTTTCAAAAGCCAGCATTTTCCACTTTTAATATAAAAGTCTATTACTACCAATCTTACCTTTCTAGATGCTAACCTAGCGATTGCCTGAAATTCACAGCTACACGAGTAGTTCAAAGCGAATCACAAAGTGAAGTTTTGCTGATTTTGCTCATGAATTATAATCTACAATGTAGTGCATGTCTTCATGAGTAATTCAAAACACAGTCTACAAAAGCTACATAATACAACGAATTACCCAAGTACATTACGAACTTGCTAATTGTATTTATTGCCCTTGTAAATGACTACCTTTTGTTAAAATCCCATGTTTCAGCATCTCCCTAAAAAAAAACCTGGTTCACATGGCAACAAAGAACAGCCCCACAATCAGGCAGTATTTTGTGATGTTCTTAGGAGGGTCACCAAGTCACCAGACCTGAAACATTCACCGATTTCTCTTCACAGATGCTGCCAGACCTGCTGAGCTTTTCCAGCAAATTCTGTTTTTGTTTCTGATCTACGGCATCCACAGTTCTTCCGGTTTTTATTTATTATTTTATGATGTGCAGTTTCCAACAATGGAACCAAGGCAGAATTTACACTCGTGGCAGCTCCCATCTCTAACCTTTAAAATTTAAAAAGCTGAGGGGTGCACAGGACCCAAATGTGATCATGCAGGTAATCATGCTGGATCTTACCATCAAGCTAGGCTGGGACTTCAAATAACTCTGGGAGCCGAGAGGAATGCAAACTGCATGAAATAAGTGAGCTCTCTAGGCAAACAAACACAGGCAAGTTACACATTCAAAGGCCTCGAGATTCACAAATTCTACTTGCTGGTCCAAGGGAGCACTGCTTGCCAGGAGTGTGGTTGACAAATCCCTTCCCAGATGGAAAAAGCAGGAATACGTACTGATGGCACAGGAACTCCATTTTGACGTATACAAGTTGGACCAGGAAGTGTCATTTGCACATGTGGTTTTTTCCCTTCTGGGTTGCACTCTATGGAAACAAGTGAAGGCTCGGAGCTCATTGCCTTCAGAATATAGCTGTTCTAATCGGTGGAGTAGTTGATGAACTCATTCACATGACAAAGAGGACACTGATGACCTCCTTTATGCTCCTGCGTACAACAGTCTGTGACAGGTTATACATTGACCCAGGAAGCCCTGAAAAGCTCTGGTGTTGAAAGTGTTGACTGCCATGGTCACCTGGACAGTTGTTGGCCTGGGGTTCCCACACCTTGCTGCACAGTTCCATGTTTCACTGAATACATCCCAGGACTGTTTCCAACATCTCTGGTATTGTGTCAGTGACATTTGATGTAGGTAGGTAGGTCTCACCCAGTGATGAGTCACCGACTGCCTTCCTTGGTTGTATGCATCCTGCCCTATCTCTTCTGTTGATGCAGCCTCTGGCTGACTGGCAAGAGTTCTCATTTTTGGATCATTTTCTCCTGCTCCCAACCTTCATCCTCTCATTCTCTATTAGATCCATCTTTCACTCCTACATGTGCATGATCCCACTTACTTATCTTGCCCTTGCTGCTGCTGAGCTCCCAATATACATTCCCATGTTTCTGCTCCCATATTATGCCCCAAGAATACAGCTGCAGAAAGCCAACAGATGTTTGCGACCTTTGAAGGAACATAATCTGAGTGCATTGAGATTAGTGTGCCATTGGACATATATGGCACATAACTCACCACTGTCCTGCTGACAACTTGATTTCTGCATTTCAATTTATCAACACTTAACTAACACTCCATCTTGGATGAGCAGTAAATGGCCTTCAGTGAAGTATTGCAAAGATCACATCTATAGGCCTTGTTCTCTGTCATAAACTGTGTAACTTCACCATTGACATTATCCTTCTCCTTATCCTGACCACTGGTTCACGTAGAATGAGACCGGTCAGAACCTCCACCTCCTGATCCACTTTGACCTCTTGTTCATATGCTCTTTATTACAATACTGCTGACTTCCAATTCATATCATTGAACTCTATCTATATCAGCCCATCGCTGCTAGACCTGGCTCCCACATTTTTACCTCTGGATTTTATTGCTCTAATTGCCTCATGATTGGCCTCCCATCCACCACCTTTCATCAATTTTATCTTACTTAAACCTTACATGTCTGCACTTCAACAATTAACACCTTAAAACGTTAGCCCCTTTGATAAACCTTGCATTTAAACACCCTTCAGAGTCAACGTCTTCCTAAATTTGCATCATGCTCCAGCACTGCAACCACTTCAAAAGTGAATCAAACTTGATTCTAATCTTGTGCACCTCCTTCTCCTTTCAATGCTTGTACCTTCAGTTGCTTATCTGTCAAAACAAGGTTTACCAACCTCCAGATGGAACTGGGTGGTGGTGGTGGTGGGAGTGATGTGGCAGTAGTAGTGGCTGTTATTGGGTGGGTAGGTGGGTGTGTGTGGGCTCTGCAGGAATTGAGATTTAAAAATCAAGGAACTGGGCCAGACCAAAACAATACCTTGATTTTTTGTGTGTCTAATTCAAGCTCACCCCTGCAGTCACACATGCCCCTACATGAATGACTCACTCACTAAATTGTCCACGCCTTACTCTTGGAGAAGGATGAATAAAAGATGCAAGTAAAAGGAGCTTCTATTGATGCAGAATCCAAGGGTGTCATATGGCGCTTCGTAATCCACCAATTATTTTTCAAACAACTTTATTTTAGTTGCATCAACAAAACAATGTTCAGTTTGCACGTACCAAAATATCCCAAACAGCAAGCAGATGTCTGATTAGTCATTGTATATAAAGGGATGTTGAAGAAGGAGGCACATTAGCCAGCTCACCAGAAGAACTCTACTCGCTTACACAGACTCAGTTCCTTTTCCCCATCTAAAATATGACACGCTCAACAGTGCCATGGTCCCTCTGCACTGTATACATGTCAGCCCACATTAATGTGCTCGAGTCCTGGAGTTGAACTTCAACCCACAACTTAAATGACTCCAAACCCAGAGTGCTGCCAACTAAGCCAAGCCGACATTTACAATTAAGTGTTAAGATGTTCTGGTGGTTGCATTTTCGTTCATCACTTCTGGTCGACATGCAGTCTCTAGTAATGTATCAAATTAGGTTACGTTTGTTAGAAGAAGAAATCTGCGCTTGTATAGCATCCTTCATATCCTGTGGAGACGTCAAAACGCTTTAGTGAACAAACTGCAATTAAAAGTGTGGTTATTTTTGTTTTAGAGACATTTGCAGCAGCCAACATGTACACAGCAAGGTTTCTTCAGGTTGCTTTTAGAAGGGGAAATCAGCAACCTTGGCGGCCTGGAGAATAAGAGAAACAGGTTTGAAAACAGGAGCATTAGCTAGGAGCGAAATTAATAGGCCAAGACATAAAAAGGTCTTAAGGTCAGAAACATAATATTTTAGTTCCATTTTCCTGACTGTTATAATATTGGAAAATATCTTTTCACATTGTCTTCCAGCAACAAGAATGCTCAAGCCAAGAATAACACAATCACCAACTCTTATAAATTTGGCATGTGATAAGCTTTTCTGTAAGGTATACTTCATTCATATTCCACAGGAAAATTTAAATTAGACCCAAATATTCAGGTTCTTCAGCAAACAACAGGCAATGACAGGCACCTAGCACCATTCCTACATACCCTGAACACTGCATCAGATAACGCAAGAACATCTTTCTTTTGGCACAAACCTATACAAAACCAGAGCACAAAGTGTTAAATTCTTTCTACTCATGTCATTGAAAAACAGTTGACAAAAAGAAGCCTTGAACACATTCTTGGCCCAGCTTTAAGGACAAGAGACATAGCTGGCTACCAAAATCCTTGAGCCTCTGGCATGTGGGCTCAAATCCAGTCCAGACTGACTGAAAATCTTGTCTTGCTTGCCGTGGTTAAATCCCATTTGCGCACAGTTTCAAACCACTTTTTAACAATGTTGTGAATTGCCACAATGAGTATCTTGTGTCATGGAAATACCTGATGCAGAATATTCATAACAGTGTCTGAGGTTTCGTTTCAAAGGCATAATTTTGAGGTTGAAGCCAATGATTCATTTTATTACAACACACCTGCACTGGTGCTCAAAACCAATACTGGACTCAACTGCACTCCTACTAGGGAGCTTCAAGCATTGGCAGCACAAATTCAGGAACTCG